CGCCTTTCCCCTATCAGAGCAGATGTCAAACTCAGTGGATAGTACTTTTTAATTGTCTGTCTTCCTCAGGGACTGTTGTTAGCTTCCACAGGGCAGGGACTCTCTCTGTCTTTCTCAGCAAAAAAGCCCCAGAACCTAGCACAATGCTAGGCACATAGTGTAATTTGAAAATGTTTGTTGAATAAATGATATGAGTTTATGGATAAGTACTGAAAGGATATATGAAAAAATTAAAATTTAGCTTATTGATTCAGTTCATACCTCTGAAGCCAGAATTAACTCATTGGACAGATCTGGTGCATAGGAAATACAAGTGTTAGCTATTGTTACTGTTGTTGCTATTGTAAAAGCAGGAGTATCGTATTCTTTATCATGCTATATGATTTAAGAAAGAAAAATGAAATGTTTCCAATTGGATCTCTTCTTAAGCATTAAGGTGACAGCATGATTTGGCAGTTTCCCATCTGCCATATTTTAATTTTACCTTTGGAAACAAACATTTTTAAAGGTGTGAATGTAGTGAAGAAGCCACTGTTTCAGTTCGTGTGTCTTGTAAAAGACACTGTCGTTTCTGCATGTTATGTTTTTCTATTTGGAGTAATTTTATCGATCCCTTGAAAATTGTCTACGGAACTATGTTGTTGTTAGAATGTTTGCTGGCAAATACTCACTGGTATACTTTTTTCAACTAAACGTAACTTGTCCTAATTAGCTTCTCATCCAATCTGGAATTATTTATAATACTTGGCTTTGTGTGGAATCGAATTGGATTGAATTCTTTCCAAAAGTCAAACTACTGTGATCACTGACTCAAAGCTTGCAAAGAGGTCTACAGTTTCATTACTATATTTTATAAATAAATGTACATAGAGTCAGAACTGTTTATAGAATCTTTCACGTGAACTTCATGAAATGCTGTTCATGCCATCAGGCATAGAGGATAATGTGCCTTGTGGCCTTGTGGCCTTGTGGCCCTGGTTTGCTTCCACTGTGCAGTCATTAGAAGGAAGACAGTCTGCTGTTTCCATTGTCTCTGCCTTGGCCCGGGCCGTCATCACTGCATTTGAAACTGGTGAGCTCAGAACTAAGAAGGGTGACCTCCCGTTGTCTTCAGGCACTTTTTACTTCGCAGCTTCCAGAAGGGACGATGATTACTGAGAGCAGCACGGCACTTAGGCATTGTCTATGGGGACCCGACGTCAGGCTGTTCACTACAGAAGTTGTCACTCAAAGACAGCTCACCCTGAGAAAAAATGAGTTTTAGACTTAACTTTATACTACAAATTTAAAACTGCAGGAAAATCTTACTGAGAGTTGGCTCCTACCTAGGCCCTCCCCAAATTGTATCATTTTCAGTTCTGTGTTTTAAAAATCTTATGATTCTAAACTGGTCAAAAGATCTTTTATATATTGCTTAAAGTATGTCTCTCTTTTTATTCTTATCCAGTTCTATAGAAGCAAAGTGTTTTATGCTTATAATTTCCAGTTGTAAAGTTAATGATATATTATGAACTAAGGGTGATTTTAAAGTCTTCCCTACTACATGTCGTTAATAAGCAAGACCTCGAAAATGCTTTTCCTTTAGATTAAATTGAAGTTCTAGATTTAAAGGTGAAACCATCAAGATGATGGTGTAATCACAGAAATATTACATATAAGCTTATAGGTTAAAATTATAAATTATATGGCACCCAAATATATATTTTCTTTTTATAATACACCTTGAAAAAATAGATACTTTATGATTTACTGATTAAGGAAATAAAGTACTAGAAAGTCAGAAATGAGTGCTATGTCTAAAGGGGTGCTGTAAAAATGTATAAGCTTGGGATTTTTTTAAAAAAAGTATAAATTAGTGGAGATAGAAATGGAGTGATTCTAGTCAAAGACAGGAAACACTGGGAATTATTTCTTTTGATTTGGTATGTTTTTAAAGTGCCATCCCTCACTGGATGCTTTAGTTGTAAGTGGATGACTTACTGCGTTTGTGAAGTAATGTTTCTTAAACCTGAGTAAATGAAAGGTGTAAAAGATCAAGTGCTCAGTATTTCTTTTTCCATGTACAGCTGCTGCATAAATACTTACCTTTGGCTTAATTAAGAACTTTATTCTTGGGGATTATTGAAATATTAACATAGAATGAAAGTTCCATAAATTAAGTGAGTTAAAAATAATTCTAAATCATTTATTTCTCTTACTGCTTTTATACAGAAGTTCCCTCAAAGGATTTTTTAATGTATCAACTGGAAATTTTATAGGCTACTTGTACTTAATTACACTGTGATTATTTTACCCATTATGTTAAAGTTAGGAGAAGGCTTTATCTCCTTCTGTTTTTCACAGATGTACTTGCCACAAATTTTATTATACCTAAAGAATATTTTTCCAATAGGGTATTATACAGTATGAAGTGTTTTTTTTCCCCCAGAGAAATGAGGGTTTATGAAAGAAGTATACTCTCATGTTCTCAATATTTTTAAGAAAAACATCTTGAATTCTTCTTTAACTACTTTTGTTTAAAGTTTGGAATAACTTTTAATAATCTTTCTACTCTCAATATTTATTGATATTCATTTGTATTACCTTAAGATAGACTTAAGTGAATGAAATTTTATTTTTATAGTGTTTAATGGTAATTAAAATTAAATTACATAGAGGCATCACAAAGCTTTTTAACATTTAATATTATATTGAAAGGAGCAATTTAAATTGGGCTTGTTTCAGAATACCATTTTAGAAATCAGTTGGCAGTATTAGCAACATCATTATTATATGAATGTATGCTAATGTGGTATGAAAGAAAGATCCTCATTAAAATCTTGTTGCTAAACAAGTGACAAAAACCCTACAAACAGCTTGAGGCTTTAGGCCAGTCACAGTTATTCCTGCCTGAAGAGATTTGGACAAGTGTGAAAATATGTAGACTGTGTCTTTATTGGGATCAGAGCACATAAATGCTATCTCACATGAATTCCCAACTAAGGGCATTTCTGTTTTTAGGAAAAGAAATCTTAAAATGATGCAATGCCCAAATATATATTGTGAATTTCTCTCTGTAAAAATACTGGGTTTGTTAAATTTGGAAAGTGGACTTTTGATAATAGCTATTATGTTTGTGTTTTCCAGAAAATTACTGGGGTTTGATGAGCTAGGTTATTTCATTAGGCAAATTCTTTCTTCCAGACATTGAGTGAACTGGTCTGGAGTAGGTATGTGAGGCTACGGGAGGATGTAGTGGTGCCAGGGAGCAACCTATGGCTCATCACCCCTATCGTCACAGCAGTTCCCTTCTGGAAGCCCGTAGCCAGATTCGATCCCTTCTGGGTTAGCTTGATGCGCATTTTCCCTTTGGGTGTTGCTTATGTGTTAATTTTTATTTGGGATGATAATTCTTCTAGAAAGGCAGATTTCAATGTGCTATAAATAGGAAAATTAACATGTAGGAATGCTAATGACATTCCAGAATAAAAGTTTTTGGTAGCCATGATCTCTGTGGATAATGAGCTGACTCTGTCTGCTGTGCCTTTCTGAGTTGGAGGGAGTCTAGTCAAGGACACGAAAGATACTCCCTTGGTCTGATTTGGCCTGTGTGTCCAGCTCATCTGCACAGACGAGGAATGAGAACATTTGTAGTTGGAATGAAGATGATCCTGAATAGTTTCAGGAATCAGAGTAATTGGTGGGACTTCTGGGACTAGTGAACAAGAAGCTAAGGGAAGCTAATCCTGTGTATATTTGAAGTGGAGTATTACATGTCACCCGTAATTTAATGTGACCAGACACATTATTTGCATTAAAGTTATTTCTTGCATCTGCTGCCTTTGTTTTTATTCTACCACTTATCCTTCAAAGTTTGCAGGTAGATGTGGATATTTATAAGGCTGTTGTCCCAGTTAAAGCCCCTGTAATGGGGTTTTATGCATTTAATAAATCTCAATCTTTTCCAGTTTTCTTGTGGTTTAAAAATATTTTTGTTGCATATTGTGTGTCTTCATGGAGACTCCTGAAATTACCTGCTTGCTTTAAAATAATCATAAATTATATTTGTTAGTAACTGGAAGGGTAATATGTATAGCTCAAAGATCTTGGTAACTTTATATTAAAGGAGTTATAAAAAATATTCAGAAAATGTCACTTTTTGCCTACCACTTTTTTGTGGGGATGATGTCATAATTTAAGATCTGACGTGGAAATTGATGGTTACTTACAGGAGATACATGAGATTGGAAGTGGCAAAGCAGGGAACTAGAGCAGGCAGAGGTCAGGAGGAAGGACTGGAATAATTCAGGAGAGTTGGTATACATGATAGGGAGCAAAGCCCACACTGTCCTTTAGAAAGGATAAGGGACAACTAAGTCTGACCCCGAGCACATGTAAGAAAGATGAGCGGGTGGCCCAGCTGTGGGTAGATGACGGCACCAGGCTTTTCTGAGCTGGTGATCCTGAGAAGGCAGGATACCAGAGGGGCTAGTATAGTTTAAAAGGCCAAATACCAGAATGGAAATTTGACAGAAAGCCATTTGAAATTTTCTGGGGCATCTAAGAGTAGACCCGAGAATTGAGTAGGAGCCCTGTTTTCAGGAGTTAAGGCAGCATGGTGAGGTTGTCTTAAAGAATGGGGATACCTTGAAGCCACCAGGAGAAGACATGCAGACACTGGACATGTAGAGACTGCACGTCTTGGAAACAGCTCCTCTTTTATTCTCCTTAATGATTTCTTGTAGAATATACATTTTCTTTATTAGAAGTCCCATCTGTCTTCATGAAGCCTCCTCACTCTTTCTCAGTGGTCCTCTGTCTGTCTTTTCAAATCTCGTTATTTATTTCCACAAAGTAAATGAAACTCATCTTATTCTTTTTACTCACGTACATGTCTTTGGTGCAGCATGTGCAATGTGCCAAGCACAGTCTAGGTAATAGATGTTAAATTAGTTTTTAGAGCTGTCAGAAATTGTGTTGATGTAATTACAAGAAACTTTTCCCCAAATTTTTTATTTCAGATTTTACCAAATGTTGCAAGGAGTCTGGAGTCCTTATGGTAGTGAAATGCCGGAAAGAAAATTCTGCATTAAAAGAATGTCTAACCTCTTAGTAAGTAGTTAGTTACCTAAGTGTCTGTACATCTGTGTATATGTGTGTGTAGTATACATTAATAGTAAGAATGTTATTTAATTCATTCAATGTAATATATTCTGTACTCCGCCCCCCCAGATATTTTTGGCTGAGTCTAAAATTGGTTAAAGATTATTCTAAAAAAGCAACATTTATGATCTCTTTAAATTATGTGGGTGAGCCTTATATCTGATCAAATATATGAAATCAGTTAACAAAGACATGATTTCCATGTGATTTAACCAATTTCTTTTCATGAACAGGTTGATCTATAGAATGTATTATAGATGGGCTTAAGGTAAACCTAATGATAAGGTACTGACTCTCAGACTATCTCTAAGACCTTTGCCAGCCTTGCAATTTTATTTTTTGATTAACTCCTAGGAAGGTTGCAGTAAGTCAAAAGAAGGACACAAAGGTAAATTTAGATTTTTGAAGTTAAATTAAAATTTTAAATCTTAAATACCATGTTCACTGATAGTTGTAGTTCCTTGAATCTTAAAGTGAAAATATGCCAAGTTCTTTGAATGCAGGTCCTTTCTGCTGAATTCCACACTTTTTTTTACTCACATTATTTACAGACAGTATAGCAGAATACTTTAAGTCCAGAACTGAACTTGGCTCCTTTTACTTCTGCATTTTATGTCTTTGTGAATTATGCAGTTGCCTAGTATCTTCCGTGTCTCCTAACTCTTGATTATTTCCTGTTGATTTCATTTCCTAAATCTTCCCCAGATCCATTGCCTCCTTTTCATCACAGCTGCTGCTCCTTTGGCCTAGGCCCTCCTCGTTGCTTATCTGGGCTATTTTATTTATTGGATATCCCCTTTTCACCTGTCTGCCACATGCTTGCTGTCAGATTCACCTAAGACACAAAGCTGACCTTACAGTTGTTCTCCTAATAGTGCCCATCATCTTCAAGATAGATTTTTTAACTTTTTACTGTGGCATAAATGCACCATCATGGTTTGGTTCTTGCCCTTTCCAGCTTCATCTCAGGGCCTTTTTCCTGTGTGAAATATACTTGTAGAATATACTTCCCTATTAGAAATCCCATCTACAGTTTGCCATACTGGTTCCAATTTACTTGTCATTCTTTAAGCATTACAGTTTTTCCTCATCTTTTGCTGTTGTACGTGTGCCTTCTATAGGGATTTCTGGTGGTCTTTCAAAACGTAACTCCAGCATTTCCCCTTGACATCTCCCCTTCTCCCACTCTTCCCCATGTTCCCATGGTGCACTGGTCCATATCTCCGTCATAGCGCTTTGTGTACTTACGAGTAATTCCTTCCTTACCTGTCTGCTCTGTACCACCATGGGCTGCCTGAGGATAGGCACTGTGCTTCTCATTGCTGTGTCTCATTTGGGTAGTGCTATTCAAAAGAGAACCACTAGGTCTTTTTATTTGTTTCCTTTAACTAGTTTGGTAGTCTAATGTGTACAGTGAGTTTATGATCATTACTAAAAGCCGCCTTTTTTAAAAAATATTTTAAAATTTCAGTTGCAATTGACAGTCAATATTATTTTAGTTTCACTTTTTGAAATGTACTTCTAAGGGTTGTACCTAATGAACATAATGTTACTAAGGTAAGTTTATATTAAATACTTAATAAAATGGTTCACTTGAAAAGATGTTCATTTTTTTCTTGTAGTTATAATGATCCTGCCTTTTATGAAGAATGCAAAATGGAATACCTAAAGGAAAGGGAAGAATTCAGAAAAACTGGGATTCCTGCCAAGAAAAGGATACAGAAGCTTCCAACAAGCATGTAGGCACATATTCAAATGATACTCAGTAACTCTATTCCTGGAAATCACATTTACCTAAAATGATGGACTCAAGGAAGTATTTACTTTATCCTGAATTATGGAAATATTAATCTTATCTGAAATAAAGACTTTTTTAATTTTAAAGTTAAGTTTATTAAATGGGGTAGTAGCAAATAGTGGAATGGGATATGGTTTGCCTGGTCATTATGGAGTTTTCAAAAATCTTTTGCACAACTATAGTTCTATAATGGTGATACTGATTTTTAGGGTTCAGCATAGACTTACCGTACTCTGTCAGAAGAAAAGGCTAATTGTGGGGATTGGCGTAACCAACTAAAGGAAAGCAGAAATGGACCACATTCAAAAGGGGTTTAAATAACCAGGCAGTATAGTGGAGTGGTCCTCAACCAGAGTCCTTCCTAGTTCTCTGCTTACTAGCTGTACACCTGTGGAAATAAGCCTCATACAGTTTTTGCGAGGACTGAGTATTTTAGGCAAATGCTCTTTAATGGTTATTATTAGTAGTAGTACTAAAGAATTATTTGGAAACACAGATGGTAGATTATTTAAAATGAATTAATTTTAAATATCTTTAATGAAAAACTTTCTAAATGTACTGCTACTTTCCTTGACCTGTTAATTTGGCTACTGAAAATACTTTTTTTAAAAAAAGTTTTCTTTATAAACATAAATGACCATTTTGTAACATACTAATGGTGTCAGGAGCTAATGTGAAAATTTTCTGTCCCAATGCAATAATTTGGTTCCAGTTGAACTTTTATATTAAAAGTTGCTTCCCCCCCACCCCATGAACGATTAACTTTTTACCACAGCCGTTGCAACCAGTTTCCAGGTAAGTAAACTTTATGTCTACAGTTCTCACTAAAATCACAAATAGAAATTACCACATACAAGGACAAGATTTCACTTTGTCCCCAATCCTATGAAATATATCTGACTTTGTAGAAGGATTTAAAGCAAGCAAAGAGGATCCTAAGAACCAATGGCATGTTCAAGTTCCACACTTTTCTCTTGAGTAAGCCATTCAAAGAACTATTTTACTCTTATTTAAAACCCCTCAAAACCACATTTACCCAGGCCACACAGATCAAAAGGAGGCAGACTGCTAGAGCAGACAAAAGCAAAGCCAATAGTGATCTAGAGGTCACATAGCAATAGGGGTAAACAAGCCTATATTCCTGTTGACCTTTTGGTATTGGTGCATTTCCTATAGCACAGGACCTTCATTTTTGTTAATTAAAAGGCAAAATACGTTTAAAGCTAGTGAAATGCATAATCTGTGGCTTTTATAATTTTGATTAGAATCACAGGGGCCAACTTCAATTTTATGTGGATAATTCATTTATGTAGATTCACTTTCCCTATAGGTGCTAGATAAATAGTATAAATAAGTTCATCCTTTTTTATTCTGTCAAAAACTAAACTCTTTATGTATAGCTTTTAGAATATCCATGCCTATCGACACTCAAGTTTACCTCTCCAGTGGGTGTATCTGCCTCAGGTGTTACCTTGCTCGCTCATTTGTGCCTCTGCTGATCTGTTTTGTTAAGTGACAGTCCAGATCTACCCTGGAAGTTCTACCTCCGTGATGTAGCCTTTCTGGACCGGTTTTCATGTGATTCAGCCCTTTAGTTCTGCAAGTCTGAATTTCCCCTATTTTGACTTTCTGATGTTTCACATAGGTATGTCCCTGTGCTGCTTCTGAATTAGGTTCCATTTTGGCAAAACCTCAGTTTCCTTTTAGACAAGATAACAAAAAATTTTTACCCAATAGGGGATGGGGATCAAGAGGAAGGAGTAAGTGGCCTTTTTGTTGTTAGCTATGTTCTCTTCATTGTCATGGATGTGTAAATAGATGTGTTATAAAAATCTAAAGATTAAGAAATTTTCAAGGAAGCCCTTTGGAGCAAGTTTATAAAACTACAGATGGCCCATTCTTTCATTTCTCTGTGAATCTTACTTAGAACAGATGATCATAAAGTGTACATTTAAAAAATTAAGGCTGGGTACAAACAATTTTTGGTTAATCTTTCTTAAGTAGTCTTACACATCATTTATTTAGCACTTTAAACTATCAAGAACACTAACCATTGACTTTCTAACATACCTGTTTCACAGATGCCCTTCTGTTTAGATGGAAAAACATTTTCTCCACTTAAAAGAAGTTAGCTTAACAAGACAGATACCTTTTATATGAATCAGATTAGTAACTCAAAATTAGTACTTGACCTTGGAATATATAGTCAAGGACAAAATTTCACTCCCACTTCAATTTCAAACAAAAATAATTTTAATTAAATAATTTCCTTGCATTGTTCAAAGCATTAATCAAGCCATTATCTCATACAACTTATTTTCTTTACATTGTAAAATTTCCAATCTTGGTTTTAAAAAAGGCAAACCAGTAAGCTTAGAGATTAGATATAACATACAGCCTCTGTAGCTACATGAAAAATAGTTTCTGTTGCTGTGGTATTACACAGGTAGTTGCTTCCTGTAGCTGAAGCCTGGAATCTTATATTTGTTTTATGCATATTGTCTTCTGTTACTTGGCAGGAGATTCTACTCCCTTGAGGCAGCTGTGTTCATTGGTCAGAATAAATTCCAGCATCTGATACCAATTCCATTAATCACAGACAAGCTTGAATAAGTGAGGTAATAGACAAAAATCTGGTGAATGGTGAACACTGTTTATGTATGTATGCTATTCAGTCAATATAGAAATCTGTGATAATCTTTTAGTTCAAGACAAACATTTCAAACTGTCTATTAAAAAGGCTAAGATTTCCCACATGAAACACTCTATCTCAGGCAAAGGATATAAGAATTGAGTAATAATTTTATTACTAATATTCTTAATACTGCAGCCCTGAAAGAACTTAGTAATTTCCATGTGAAGCCATCTTTGTTTTTTCATTACTTCTTTATAAATGATAGGCCATTTAGAATCAAAGAGTTTGGGGACATGTTATGACTGTACTGTCTGTATCAATACAGCACAGATTTTGGTTTTTAGAATTAAATTCCTAAATCAATTAAAAACCACTCTGAGTAAAATGTTACATTTCAAACCAAAGCCTAACAATTTATAAGCTGGTCTACATGAGCGGGTATAGACCCTTTGAAGAAAATGACTTCATTATGGACTCGGAAGAGACAGTTTAGACTGAAACCTTTGTGATGTTCTTTACACTTCTAATTGGTTGATGTATAGGATTATAATAGTTTATTCACACACCATATAGATTTTCTACTATTTAATCACTTCAGTTAGGACTTGAGGGATGTACTGGGACAAAGTTGGCTTCAATGATCAGGTTGCTTCAAGTTTTAAAGTTCAAATTGCAATTCTAAATTTTATCAACATTGTGATTGAAAATGATTTAAAACTTTGAAAATAGCACAGAGATGGAATAACCTACATAGTTATTACACTATTTATATTTTTATTTATGCACTGTAAGTCAACAGAAATATAAGCTGTTCACATTGCCATTTGCTCCTTTATGCAATTTATCATTTTTTCTTATGTTAATGGCCTCCTCTATTTTTAATGAACAAGTTTAGGCATTTTACATGCTTTGTAAAACCGTGTCTAAAAGCTTTCAATTACATTCTTTATGTGAGAGGCAGAAACTTACAATCATCATCAAAGGTAGAACTGTCTTTTTGAAACACCTCGTTTATTAAGTTTATTATTAGCATATATCTGATTCTTAGCCAGAAGAGAAGCTGGAGTGTTGCTCTTTCATACCGGAAAATCAACTACGTACTATGGTACAATATGTGCAAATGTGTACATCGAAGAACCCTGTAAAATTTTAATCAAACCCCACTTTCAGTTTATTAAATAATTTCTCAAGAGAACTATTGCAGGAGGTATAGCAACCTCATTGCCAAGTCATGAATGTCTTCAGAATTAGTTCTTATAAAGGCAGTTTTGATTATGTTGATCCAAGTAATGTGGCAGGATGGGTAAAGGCAAAGTTTTATTTTTAGTTTCCCCAAATGCTGACTCACTTGATTTAGGAGGGCTTGGGAATACCCACGAATTATCTTCCAGAGAATTTCTGCCGTAAGAGTTGTGTTCCTGAAAGTTTGTACAGTCATGAGGAATGGGTCGCTCGTTATCTGTCCATGATTGGAGAATTGCTTTCTCTGATAAAACTTTTACATCTCCTGGTAAAGGGGAAGATGTATTACAAAGAGTTTTGCCATTTGGTGAGAGAGTGGGATGTCTTTTGTATGTTACAGTGAAATTCGTCAAGTGCAGTTTTGTGCTGTCTTTCCCAAGGTCTTCCATGCATCCTACAGGAGCACAAGCTAAAAAAGAAAGTATAGGCCAAATGTCAGCTCTCATGGCATTTTTTATCATAAAAAAATGTAACAATGTATTAATTTGGTACATTTATAACTGGAAATAAAGTTAACACTCCCAAACAAGTGTAATCATTGGGCACTGGGACTTAAAGAGAGAGGACCAATGATCTCAGTTCTAATACTGGATCAGCTATCCTGACATGGAAGTCACCGCCTGCTCCAGGTATCACTTTTCTCATCTGCAAAATGGACACAGCATAGTAATCCTGTCCCTCTGTATCACTGAGTTATTAAAAGTGAAGAATGTAAAATTTTTAAAAAGTTGGAAACTAATAAAGTTAAAATACTAGGTAGACCAAAAAGTTCATTTAGTTTTTTCCGTAAAATAAAATACATATTTTTCATTTTCACCAATAACTTTATTGATCTGGATATTTTGAGGATGTCACCTATCTTCTGCCATTGGCTTCTAGTGGATAGAGGCCAGGGGTGCTGCTAAACTTCTTCCAGTGCATAAGACAGCCCCACAGAAAGAATTATTTGGCCAAAATGTCCATAGTACCAAGAAACTTCGCAAACTACTTTTGACACGTTTGATCAATCACAGCACCTTCTCTATACACAAGTCTTTTTCTGTTTCAGTTGTGTTTTTACTTTTCTTGAACTAAAGTTGCATATTTTCTTCCATCTTCAATATTAAAATGGATACACAAAAATCCACCAATTTTGATAGTTTCTTTTTTTAAATGCATGCCGATATGACAGCTGTCACAATACAATCTAGCAAAATTGTTTTGAATGAA